CTCCCTAGATTTTCACGAGGTCAAAGTTGTCTTTTCTGAGCCTCATCTTCCCCCCCTCTAAAATGGAAAGATTGGCAAACAGACTGCCTGCCTCACAGAGTTATTACAGAGGGCAGTCTGCTTTGGAAACCTTAAGAAGTGGGCAGGAAAGTGGGAGGGAGAGACGGCTTGTTTGTTAGGACACAACATGATATCGTAAAAGGATCACTGGATGTCGATGCTGAAGAAGTGGGTTCAAGTTCTGACTTTTATCTGGTGGCCTTGGTTAAGCCACATCACCTTGCCTGGACTCAGTTTCCTCATTTGTAAAATGCAGGACATTGGGCTACGTGTCTTCTGAGGTCCCATCCTGTTACCTCTCTGGGCCTCAGTTGCCTGATCTGAAAAATGAGAGGGTTGAACTAGATCACCCCCAACGTCCCTTCCAGCGCTCAGTCTATACACCCCAGGTGTTTTCAGTGCTTACTGATGCAGTGTGGCTTGTGCTGAGCGGCGCCAACGCCGAGCTCTTGTGAGAGTCTGCAGGACGGAGAGATCCCTCATGGAGGGTGTTCCCAGGTGTCTCGTTAGTTTCTGCCACAAGCTATTTTCTCGGTTGATTCCTGCTCTGTGGGGATCTGAGGCATATCCTGCTCACCTGCCGATGCTGGGCACCTGGGCTGTTTTCATCCCCAATGCCTTAGACATAGTTGGCGGCAGTGAGGAGCAGCACAGAGAATGCTGGAGAACCCTTGAGATGGGAACTGAGTTCAAGGATGGGCTTGGCCCCGTGCACCCATGGGACCTCAGACGAGGCAGCCTTGTCTTCTGTAAAATTGGAGTAGGGGGGAATGAGGGGAACAGGTGACTTCTCAGGTCTCCCCCTAGTCCTGAATGCCCTTGGACTGCGCTGCATCTCCCTGACCTTTCTCCAATCTCTGGCCTTCCTTCTGCCCTCCCACCCCCCAAAAATGCTTTTGCCCATTCATTTCCCTGTGACAGTTCTAATGTAACTGCTTTACTGATTAAGTGCTCTGTCTTTATTTCATGGTCCATATATCCAGAGCTGGTGTGGCTAGTAGGCTGGCCTCAGTGTCAGGATGACCTGGGCCTCTGGTTCTGGTTCACATTCTTTTGGCTGTGTGACTCTGGGCAAATCACGGCACCCTTTCAGTGACCCCAGGCCATTCAGACTAGCAACTGCAGAGCTGTGGTCAATCTGCTTTGATCAGGAGGTGGTTTCTCAAAGGAGCCCCCATGCCAATGAAATAACAGGATAGCAGCTCGGTGGCACAGTGCTTAGAGCCTTGGGCCTAGAGTCAGGGAGACCTGAATTCAAATCCAGCCTCAGACACTTACTAGCTGTGTGACCCTGGGTGGCTCATTCTGTCTGCCTCAGTTTCCTCATCTGTAAAATGACCCCATTTGGAGTTTTCTTGGCTGAGATATGGGAGAGGTTTGCCATTTCCTTCTCTAGCTCATCTGACAGATGAGGAAAGGGAGGCAAACAGGGTGAAGTGACTTGCTGAGGGTCACACAGCTGGGAAGTGTCTGGGGCTAGATTTGAACTCATGAAGATGAGTCTTCCTGACTCCAGGGCTGACGCTCTACCCACTATGGCACTACCCAGCTGCCCACTACTGCTACTGCTACTACGACTACTACTTTTCTTCTACTACTACTACTACTACTACTACTACTACTACTACTACTACTACTACTACTACTACTACTACTACTACTACTACTACTACTTCGCCTCTTGCTGTTCCAGGCAGTTTACTGTTTAAGACTCTAAGCGGTCATCAGTTGGCTTTGAAAGGGTCATTTTCCCAAGGGATATTCCCTAAGCCAGTGACACAGGTCCAGGCCAAAAACAATGACTCTTTCACCATCCATCCTGCTGTTCACTTTTCTCCCATGTGCTGTCCCTCTGCCCCCCAATAAATAGAGCCACACGGTTACATTAGAGTAGAAGCTCCTCGAGGCTGTCCTTAGGTGGGCACCAGGCACAGGGTGTGGCCCCTTAGCCGATGCCAGGTGCTCAATGAGTGATTGATAATCACCTGTGGGGTGCAGGCCCTGTGCTTTTCCCTGGGGGAAGAGACAGAGTTTAGATCCAACTTCTTCCCTGCCCTCATGAAGCTTCCAGTTTACACCAGTGGCTCTCAGTCTCTTCTAGTATGAGGCTCTCCTTTGTACCACACGCAAGAGAGCTGGACTATTTGTATCCTTTCACTGAGAAAGTACATGATAAAAAAAGCTACCATGAATCCAGTCCTGGATTTTAAAGTGATTTTGTATCTTCTTCATCACATCTGTAGACATTTGAAAAGAAGTAATGCATAATACACTGGATTTATCTGTCTGTTGGCGGTATGTTTATGCCTAGGTTTGTATGCCCTATGTTGATCGCCGTGCACATCAGACCATAACACGATCTATTCTCCAGACCTATTTTAGTCACGAAGTTTTGTTTTGTTTTTTAACAGCCTGGCCACTTCTGGGTAACCCTCACCATATTGTCCTCTCCTTTATAATGTCAACAAAAATTAAGCAAAGCCATCTAATAGTGTGAATGCTGCTGATATAAGGTGGCACAATTTGCACGCACAATCCTCCATTCTCTTCTGGGGAAAAAAGGTGATGTGCAGTCACGTCCAACTCTCTATGACCTCATCTGGGGTTTTCTTGGCAGAAGCACTGGAGTGGTTTGGCCTTTCCTTCTCCAGCTCTTTTTACAGGTGAGGAAACGGAGGCACACAGGTTTAAGTGACTTGCCCAGGGTCACTCAGCTAGAAAGTGTCTGAGGCTGGATTTGAACCTGTGAAGATAATTCTTCCTGACTTCAGGCCTGGTGCTCTTATCCACTATGGCACCACCTAGATGCAGAATAGGATCATAGTTAAGAACTAGAAGGGACCTTCGGAGGCATTGAATCCAACGCTTTCATTTTATGGATTTTATCATTGAGGAAACTGAGGCCCAGACAAAGTAAATGACTTGTCCAGGATCCTACAGCCAGTCCACAGGACAGAAGAAGGTGTTTTGACTTCAGTCATCTGGAACCAGGCTTGATCATTACATCTGATCAGTTATCTTGATTTATATTATTGGAGTCATTTTGTATGTATACCATCCTCCTTTTTCTCTTTTCATCAGTCATACAAATCATGTGATTGCAGATTTAGAGGTTGAGGGGCCCTGAGAACTTCAGGTCACAAGTGAGACATAGATGGCTATGATGGCGCTATAGTGCACAGAGCCCTGGAATCAGGAAGACTCATCTTCATGAGTTCAAATCTGGCCTTAGACACTTACTAGCTGTGTGACCCTGGGCAAGTCACTTCACCCTGTTGGCCTCAGTTTCCTCACCTGTAAAATGAACTGGAGAGGGAAATGGCCAACCACTCCACTATATTTGCCAAGAAAATGCCCAATGGGGTCACAAAGAGTCGATACAGCTGAAACAACTGAACAACAATGAATGTGTTGATTTGTTTGCACTGAAAGCTTATTTGGTGCAAAGGACAGTTCTCGGGGGCTGGAGTCAGTAGGAAGTTCCATATGCACATAGATACATGCGCACATGTATAATCTCACCATCAGCAGGACAAAAAAATGCCCACAAAACCAAACATTCAGAAGGGGGGATGTACGCAAGGCAATTTCGTTACTGCCATGATCTGTTTAATATATATTGTTAAAAACAAATTGTATGGAATAGGAATTTGTGGTTCCATACACGATCCCTTTGTCTGTTCTTTGGATTGATGACTGTTACATTCATAATAAAAAATAAAATATTCCCCCCAAAAGAAAGTACCTTAGAGGCCATCTAGTATAAGAAACTAAGACTTAGAGAGGCGTGCCCAAGGTCACACAGGTTTATTTATATTATTATTATTTATATCATTAATAGCTAGATAGGGTTCGTAGGATGCTTTAAGGTTTACTTGTTCTTTCCTCTTCTTCCTTGGGGTCACACAGCTAGGAAGTGTCTGTGGTCAAATTTGAACTCAGGTCCTTCTGACCCCCAGGGTCAGTGCCACCTACCTGCTCCTAAAGTTTGCAAAACACTTTACGACATGTTTTCTTACTTGATCCTCACAGAAATCTCAGGAGGGAGGTCCTTTATTATCCCCATTTTGCAGATGAGGAACTGAGGTTGATAAAGGTTGTATTACTTGCCAAAGGTCATATCACCTAGTAGGCGTCTGAGGTAGGATTTGAACCCAGGTCTTCCTGACTCCAGTTCCTGCACTGCTCCACCTAGCTGGTGGCAGAGGTGGGATATGAACCCAGGTTCTCTGACCCCAAATCCAGTGTTTTCACAGATGTTCTGAATTCCTCCAATTTGCCATTTCTAAATGGCAATAATATTCCATTACACTCATATGACTGTTAAGCCATTCTCCAGTCCAAGGGTCACCACTTTAGTTCCTGTTCTTTGCTGCCACAGAAAATCCTGTTCTAAATATTTCAACTCCTACAGGGTCTTACTTTCTATCTTTGACCTCCATAGAGTATATGCAAAGCCGAGGGGATCACTGGAAAATTAATTATGACTAATTTAGTGATGTTCGTCAGATAATTCCACACGTTTCCCAAAATGGCTGGCCCAGCTCATGCTCCACCAACAATGTATTAGCGTGCCTGCCTTGCCACAGTCCTGCCAGCAGAAGAGCGCATCCTTCTTTTTCTTCTCCTTTCTGATTTGCTGAGTTTGTGGAGTTTTGATTAGCCCGTCTCTGACACGTGGTACAGAACACGTGGTCATAGCTGTTGGTAGACTGCGTTTCTTCTTTTGGAGGTGGTCCGTGTTCTTTGGCGTATTTCTGTCTTGCCCAAGCCTTTGTGAGCCTGCTCCGTTCTTGGCGGTCCCGTTAGCACGGCTCCCCCGTCGGCCAGGCCGTGTCGAGCTGTTCTGTGTCGGTCCCACCTGAACACTCTGGAGGGTGTCAGATGTCACCTTTGTCAGTTGATCTTGTCTCGTGAAGCTTCTTCTCTCTCCTTTCTAGGAAACCCACAAAGTGTACAGGCAGAAGCTGGAAGAGCTGACCACACTCCAGGCGTCCTGCAGTAGCTCCATCAGCAAGCAGAAGAAGCGGCTGTCGGACCTCAAGGGTAGTCTCCAGAGGTGAGGGAGGACAACCTGCATGCCCATTGACCTCCAGACTGGGGGACGGGGCGAGGAGGGACGGGCACGTGGCTGGATCTCTGACTCTGCGGCTTGTTTGGCCCTGTCTTATCGCACATCTCGATTAGTAACACCCCATTGCTGACTGAGTCAGGTTTTGATTTTGACCTATGGTCCTACTTTCTTTCTGTTCCTCCCTCCCTTCTTTTTATCCCTCCCCCTTTTCATCCCTCCTTTCCTTCTATCCCTTCCTCCATTCTTCCCTGCTTTCTTCTCTTTTTCTAGTTCTAGTTTTTCCCTCCTTCCTTTCCTTCTTCCTTTCCCTCTGCCCTTCCTTCCCTCTTTTTCCCTCTCTCCCTTCACAGGAACTCACGGGGAACTGTGTTCTTCTTTCTCTAGTTCGAGTTCTTCCCTCCCTCCCTTCTTTTCCTTGCTTCTCCCTCCTTTCCCTCCCTTTCTCCATCTTTTCCTTCCTTTCTCTAATTCTCCCCTTCATCCCTCCCTCTCTTTCTCCCTCCCTTCCTTTCCTCTTTCCGTGTCTATTGACTGCTTAGGAGAGGCAGTGCTGTACAGTGATTAGAGAGCTGTCCTTATAGCCAGGGAGGCCCTGCGTTTAAAAAGTTCTGCCTCTGACACATTGACTGTGTGACTCTGAACAAGTCATTTGCCCTGTTTCCAGGCCCTCCCAGGAAATTCTGAGTCTGAATTGCAGAATTGCAGGCTTACCTGCATTGGTAGAAGGCATTTCCTCATCTAGGAGTTCCCTGTAGTAATGAAATAACAGGTTCAGTCCCTGTCCCCACTGAAAGCTGGGCATTGAATGTTAAACACCGAAACTTGTTTAGTGGATGTTTGTGGACAAACTGAGTTCATACTAACTCTTTCCCCCCTTTCCAGGAAACAGTGCAGTATAACAGAGGGCTAGTCCTAAGGGTAGCCAGCCTGGACTCCACTCCTTCCTGAGTCACTTCCTACTTTCCTTGCCTTCTCTGAGTCTCAGATTTCTCATCTGTGAAATGGGGGGGGGGGGGAATGATGCCTGCACTGATGATATCACAGGAACAGATGTGGTCATAGATGTCAGCACCAGTCATGAAATATTTATTAAGCACCTGCTAAGTGCCAGGCACTGTGCTAAGTGCTGGGATACAAAAGAGACAAAAGTCCCTGCCCTCGAGGAGCTCTCAGTCTAAGGGATCATAGAATCCTAGATCTAGAGCTGAGAGGGACCTTCAAGGCTATCAGGTCCAACACTCTCATTTTACAGATGAGGAAACTGAGTCCCAGAGTGATGAAGTGAGTCACCTAAGGTCACACAGCTAATAAATAGCAGAGATAGGATTTGAACTCAGGTCCTTGGATTCCCCATTCAACTCGCTTTCTGCTGTACCAAACTGCCTCCTCTGGCATTTTCAAATGCCCTAAGTACTCTGTAAAAGTCAGCTGCCATTGTTGTAATTCCGACTACGTAAACATTTATTGAATGCCTACTGTATGCAGAGCACTGTGCTAGGCCCTGGTAGGACTGTGGCTGTGCTTTCAGAGAGCACCCAGACAATGCAGGATATGACACAGGTAGATAATTATGACACCAGCCAATATTTTGAATCAGCAGGTTTCCTGGGCCCAGAGTAAAGGGATCCACATACTTATGTTCCAGCTGTTTGGAAAACTCTAGCTCTCCTGGGAGTGAGGGAGTTGGGAAGGGGAGGCAGTGTATCATCATGGGAGAGCTGGATTTGGAGTCAGAGGACTTGGGTTTGAATCTCAGCTCTGCTGTTTACTGCGGAGGGAGGGCAAGCAAGTGCCTTCAGTTCTCTGGGTCTCCTTTTCTTCATCTAGACCCCCGATTTACAAACAAGTGCCCTTTGGTTGCAAGGGAGACTCTGTCAGGGGAGTGTGGATGACTTAGTGCAACCCCTCCCCACTACTGAAAAAAAAAGAACTGAAAGCACCTATCTTAATAATGTAAGCATAGGATTTGTTTCTGTAAATGACAGCATGTGGTTTGTGAACGCATTGTTCTGCATTCATTAATTCCTGAAACATTCACATAGCGCCTCATAGTCTAATGCAAGGTAGAGGTCATGCTGCTTGCCCTCCAGGAGGAGGGTGTGCCCTCTGAGCTGTTTTTCCAGTTTGGGGGAAGAGTTTTTGTTAAGAAGGACACCCAGACCACGTATTATTATAGAGCTTTTACTTCCAAGTACTTACCCTCTTGTTAATCCACATGGCATTCCCATGAGTATCATGCTGCAGGTTTGATTGTAAGTAGAACATAAGCTCCTTGAGGGCAGGGACTGTCTCCCTGAGTCTGCTTCTGGCTTTGTATCGCTAATTACTGTCACGCAGGAAATGTTTAATAAATGCTTGTCGATTCCATTGTCTCTATTATGCAGAAGGTAAACTGAGGCAGAAGGAAGGCTCATAGATGTAGAGTTGGCGCTCAGAGGCCATCTTAGTCCAGCCCTTTCATTTTATATATGGGGAAACCCAGGCTCATGTTGGTGATTTGCCTGAGGTCACACAGGTAGTGTCAGAGGTAGGATTTGAACTCAGGGCCTCTGATTCTAGAGTGAGTGTACTTTATTCTCTATCACATGGTTAAGAAGCCTGACTCTAAGCTTTAAGTGAGGGAGATGGTGGAGATGCCTTTGCATGCCCAGACCTGGAAGAGTCTAGACGTGCTGGCAGCTAGCTGAGCCAACACTCCCACCCCTTTCCCTTTTCATCTCAACAACAGGTGTAAACGGCATGCCAACTGTGAAGAGGCCGACCTCATTCAGCAGATGAGTGCCAGCATCAAGGAACGGCAGAATATCTTCTTTGACATGGAAGCTTACCTGCCCAAGAAAAACGGGTAGGGGGCAATGGGCCGTGGGGAGGGTCTGGGTCCACAGGTGCAGGGGTGGGGGCCTCTGGTTGCTTCCCTAGACTTGGCCAGCCCTAGTGCTGCAGGAGAGATGATGGACAGACTAGCCAGTTAAGGAGGCCCCAGGCAGATTGATATCTCTGCCTTCTCAGAACTGTCTGGGGCAGAAAGTTTGTGAGGTCACATGCGGAGCCAGGAAAGACAGTCTTTCGTAGTCTGGCTCCAGGCCTCTTGTGTTTCCAGGCTGACCATCATAAACTCTATGGTCCAGACAAACTGGCCTTCTTGCTGCCCCACATGTACAACTCAAGGCTTTCCTGGCTGCAGGTCAGTTGAGATCCCCCTTCTGCAGGAGTCGTTTCTTAGTCTTCCCCCACTTGCTACTTCCTTCCCTCTAAGATTACGTCCCATCCCACATGGAGGTGCCTGGCTTTCCCCCCCATGCTTAACACAGTGCCTGGCACATAGTAAGTACTTGAAAAATGCTTGGTGACTTGACTGACTGCCTCTGGGTTTTCCCAGAGGCTGTCCCTTATTCCTGAAATTCCCTCCCTCACCCCCAACCACTGGAGGTTTGAACATATGCCTTCACAAACCATATGTTGTCATTTACAGAGCCAAAGCCAATGCTTGCATCATTAAGACAGGAACTTTCGGTTCTTTTTCCAGCAGTGGGGAGAGGGCTGCCCTAAGTCATCCACACTCTCAACCCAGTGCCTTCAAGTCTCAGCTCAAGTACCCCCTCCTTCAAGAGGCCCTTCCTGGTTCCTTCCCATCCCCCCACTGCAGTATTTATTTGGTGTCTACTCTAAATTTAGGTATCCTTGAGAACAGGAACTATCATTGGCTGGTGCTTAGCATAACCTCTTATAGATAGAAATGCTAAGAACAGAAATACTAAGAAATACTCTTAGAAATATTTATTGATTAATTGGTTGAGAAGGGTCTGGTCCCTTAGCAGCTACAGTAGGTGTGGTGCTAAAATATAAAGCTAAGGAGTTTCTATTTTATTCTAGAGGTAATAAGGAGGTTCTTGACCAGGGGAATAACATAGTTAGCCTTGTGCTTTAGGAAGGTACCATTTAGGAAGCTCCCAGGGCTAGTAAGGTAGGCATTTAACCCTGACATCCTGTTCCTAGTGAACTGAGATGTCATCTTTGCCATAAAAGGAGGCAGTGGTGCCTCTTTGGCCTGGCCAGATTCTGAGTCGGTTCATCCCACTTATATTTCCTTGATTGTCTTCTTAAATGCTTTAGTAAAGGTATACATTTGCATGATTTTTAAAGCAATCGACTTTATAACTCTAGTTTGATGATTATAACTAGCTTGTGACCCTGGGAAATTAACTCTCTGGACCTCAGTATCCCCATTTGGGAAATGAAGGGTTTGGACTAAATGTTATCTCCAAGGTCCCTCCCAGCTCTGACATTCCCTGTTCTAAGGCACCTCTCAACTCTGACATCCCTTGTTCTGAGGCCCCTCCCAGCTCTGACATTCCCTGTTCTAAGGCCCCATGTAGCCTTTTCTGTATTCTGAAAAATACAGTTTACATCTCTAAAATAAAATCTGTTTATTTTAACAGATAAAAAATCATCCATTTTTAGCCTTACATACCTTTCCAAGCAACTTTATGCATTCACCGTTTTCGTGGATGTTTTGCATAATAATGCTCTAGCTTTCCTCAACAGTGTCTGTGTGTCCATGTACAGGGCTCCCCCAGAAAGTTAGGGTTTTAGGAGGAACCAGCATTGTGTTTATTCAACTAAAGAAGCATTTACTAGACACCTGCTGTGTGCCACGTCCTGAGAATACAAAGGCCACAGTTAAATAGCCCCTGCCTTCCAGAAGGGATAGCATTCATTCCAATGAGCATTTTTTTTTTAATATCTTTGTGCGCCGGCACTGTGCCAGGTGCTGAGGTCACAGAGATAGAACAGAAGTATAGCCTCTGCCCTCAAAGAGCCTTCTAGTTCATCTGGGTGGATGAGAAATGCACAGATAATTGAGACAGTCTAGAACTGCGACAGAGCAGAGATTGTCTAGAGTGTCCTGAGAGAGCTGGGGGCGTGGCAATCGGGGCAAGCCTGGCTGGCTGGCGGGGTGACAAGGGAAGGTATTCAAGGAGGAGAATTATAAGATTGAGAGCTGGGGGGACCTCAGGTCTCATCCAGCCCATTTTACAGATGAGAAAGCCAAAGGCCCCAACAGGTTTAAGTGACTTACCCATGGTCACACAGGCAGTAAGTAGCAATGAGGAGTAGAACCGTTAGGCCCTTGGAGAAGGCTCAGGTTTAGAGCTGAAAGGGACCTCAGATGCCATCTTGTCAAACCTCATTTTACAAAGGAGGAGACTGAGGCCTAGGAGAAGTGACTTGCCCAGGGTCTCACAGGTGGCAAGTCAGAGGTGAGATTTGAACCTGGGTCCGGAGCCAGGGCTCTTTCTAATGTCCCACTTAGTGGGTTTCCAGGTACAGCAAATAGTCTCAGCCAATTCCAGATAAGCTTGGGAAGCAGCCAGGAGCCCTGTTTGCGTGGGTGTAGGGGTTTGAAGGGGAAAGGGAGATGGAAGGAGGGTGAGCTAATCCCTGTGGGAGCCAAATGGCTCACATGAGCAGCTGTCAGAAGTCTGGCCAGCCGGGATGCATGGTCCTGAGCTGTCCCCACCCCCCTCCACTCCAAAGTACATTCCATCATTCTTCCACACAACAACCCTGGGAGGTCAGTGCCACAGGTGGGATTAGCGCTGGCTGACAGATCAGGAAGCAGAGTCCAAGGGAAGGGTGGTCATGGAACAGAAGCAGGGGTTGAGCCCAGGACTTCCTGATTCCTGGTCGATGTGCTGCCCTCCGCACCATACCGGCACCTGCACTTTCCTCTTTTCTCTTTGTGATCAGCCCTTTGCCCCAAGGTTTACGCTTCTGTCCCTCTATTGTCCTCTTCTCCCTCCTGCTCTAGGAGAGATGAGTCAGTTCATTTCCACAAACATTTCTCACGGGCTTACTCTGTGCCAGGCTTAATGGTTAGAGAAGCAACCTTGGAGTCAGGAAGACTTGGGCTCAGATCCGGCCTCTGACGCATGCTGGCCGCGTGACTGTGGGCAAGTCACCTAACGTCCTAGGGAACTCTCTGAGGCCGAAAGTTGTAAACAAGATGCCGGCCTACTCTGGTCCAAGTTTCCACGTCAAGAGTTCCTATTCAGGAGAAGTCCTAGATTCAGGCCAAAGAAATCTTCCAGGCACTGGAGATGCAAAGCCAAAAATGAAATAGGCCTGCCCTCAAGGAGCTTACATTCCACATCTAGGCATTTACTCATTAAAGTAGCACTTAATGTCTGCCGTAAGCCAGAGCTTCAGAGAGGTTAAGTGAGTTGCTCATGGCCACACAGCGGCTGGGTTAAAGGCAGCCTGGTGTAGTGGATAGAGATCTGGCCTCAGTGTCACGAAGACCTGGGTTCAGCTCCCGCCTCCAGCACCAGCAGCCATGTGATCCTGGGGAAATCACTTAGCCATGTGCAATAAGTCTTATGCCAGGTAGCATTGGTAGAGGGATTCCCCACCAGGAATGAAGAAGTCATAGATCTGATTAAAAAACAAATGTGTGGGGGCAGCTGTGTGGTGCAGTGGATAGAGCACCGGCCCTGGAGTCAGGAGGACGTGAGTTCAAATCCGGCCTCAGACACTTGACACTTACTAGCTGTGTGACCTTGGGCAAAACACTTAACCCCATTGCCTAGCCAAAAAACCCAAAATATGTGGGCACTGGGCTAAACAAAAATGAAGTTATCCCTGCCTTCAAGAAGCTTACATTTTATGGGGAAGAAGGAAACAACATGGGCACAAATAAATAATCACAAAGTAATTTCAGAATTATAATATTAAGTATTTCAGTGACTTAGATGGGGGGTGCAGTCCAGAAAGGTCTCGTGGGGAGGGGGGGGCACTTGAGTTGTGCCTTGAAAGGCGCCTCACTGATTCTCTGTTTTGCTTCTCTTTCAGGCTGTATCTCAGTCTGGTCCTGGGCAATGTCAACGTTACCCTCCTCAGTAACCAGGCCAAGTGAGTATGTCTGGCTCCTGTACCTTTTCTGTGTCAGTCATGGATTCCCTAGGACCCCCCAGCAAAGCCTCCCATCCAGTCCAGTTTCCTCCTTTTACAGATGAGAAAGCCAAAGACCCTAAGAGGTTTAAGTGACTTACCCATGGGCATATCCTTTCTCAGGATGATGTTTTCAAATGCATAAAATAAAATATGTAAGATTAAAAAGGAAACCAATTATATCGAAATGCAGCTATCCCTATATCACAAAAAACCAGATTCACAGATCCTAGTTCTGCATTAGAGTCTGTCCCCTGTGTTGTGGAGCTGGGACCACGGCCTTCCCTCATGAGGCCCGGGAGACAAGGCATTCCTTGAGTAGAATGTACACTCCAAGCCCTTGTGTGTGGTTAACCCTCCAGGCCTCCAGCCCCCCTGATGCCAGGTTCCCTTTAAATGTGTGTGCAGACCAAAAAGGCAGAACACTGGGTCCTGTGAAAAGTGGACCTTGGAATTTGTGTTGAAACAGGAAACATTGAGTTTCTGGACCCTTGTCCTTATGTGAGGTCCCAGGCGCTTGACTAGTAGGTTAAAGTGTGGGGAGCGGTGCAGTGTGTGATCCTCTCTGGTCTTGCCCTCATTGATTCCTGCTGTTAACACCAGGCTTTAATCTGGGGGCAAGGGTTGGAATGGATGTCTGTTCCTCGAGTGTCCCACCCCCGCTTTTTTTCCTTAAGTTCCGGGATGTTCTGTATCGTGTTCCAGGCCTGGAGTCAGACTCAACCCCAGAGACTTAGTAGCTGCGTGACCCTGGACAAATCGCCTAACTGCTCTCTACCTCAGTTTCCTTATCTGTAAAATGGGGATAACAATAGCACCTGCCTCTCCGGGGCTGTCATGAGGATCAAATGAAATAACGAAGCATTTAGCAGAGTGCCTGGCACGTAGCAGGCTCGGTATTTATTATTCCTGTCCCTCTCCCCGTGGACAAGGTGGAAGAGAAGGAAGGTAGCTGAGGTGGGATTTGAACTCGGGTCTTCTGGGCTTCCAGTCAAATACCCCAGACACTAGGCCATGCTGTGCTGAATGAGCAGCACGTTCCATATTTGCAGCCCCCTGCCTCCTACCTCTCCAGCAAAGGGAGACAGGTGAATTCTATGGTTGACCCCTCATTGGAGATGTCATAGAAGGGATTCTCATTTGGGTGTGATCTGGGCTGGATGGGTTCTGAGGCCCTGTGATGCAGGTGAGGAGACCACTCTACAGTCACACAGCTGGTGAGGGCTAGAACCCAGCTCCTGGGCCAGCGCCTTTCTAGCCCTTGCCAGGAGGGAGGGGAGAGGCTGCATTGGTATCAGGGAGGAGCATGGCACGTTGAGGGTTCTGATCCTCTAATCCTGGCCTGGCTGTTTTTGCAGGTTTGCTTACAAGGACGAGTATGAGAAATTCAAACTTTACTTGACCATTATCTTCCTGCTTGGAGCCATAGCCTGTAGATTCTTCCTGCATTACCGGTAAGAGGCCTGGGGTGGGGAAGTGTCCCTGCGGGGGCGGGGCAGTGGGAAGAGTGGAGGAAGGTTAGGGAGGCCTGAGCTTGTCTGGGACTCTGGAAGGGAGTGATCTAGGACACGGGTGGGTGGGGCAGAGATGGGGCTTTTGTCTTTCCTGCGGTGGGTGGGTTTGAGGCCTGGTTACCCATCCCAGTGTAATCTACCAAATAAATTATTCATCTCCAGCCTTGCCACCAGCTCTGCTCCAGGGTTTGGGGCCTACATTGATACTTGGAGGGTTCGTGGATTTAGAAAAGCCAGGAGGGAGCTTAGAAATCATTTTGCCAACTCCTTCATCTTACAGATAAAGAAACTGAGTTCCTGAATGGCCCAAAACAGGAGGTGAAATAACCTGCCCAGTATCATACAGCTAGTATATGTGAATGTAGTAGGATTTGAATCCAGATCTTCATTTGACTTCCAGTCCAGTATTTCCATTATCTATGCCCCAGTACTCCTTCCACCCAGCTCTTAGTTCTCTCTGCCTCCTCATATGATCATATTTATACTTCTTTCTGTATGTGTTGCATTCCACCAGAGGAACATAAGCTCCCTGAGGGCAGGGACTGGTTTTTTGTTTTTGGTCTTTGTGTGTGTCTCCAGTGCCTAGGCCAGTGCCGGCACATGGGATGATATCAGACCTTGAATTTCATTGAGGGGGAGAGAGCCTCCTGGTCAGGAACTTCCTCCAGCAGAGGAGACCTGCAGTGTCTAGTGTCTTGTCCCAGATCACACAGCCTCTCATGCTTGGAACATAGTAGGCCCTTTATAAATGCTTTCCAGATGGGGTTGCCTCTAAGACCTGGAGAATAAGAGGACCATGCTGCCATATTTGAGCCCTCACTCCCACCCTCACCTGTCCCCACCCCCTACCTCTTCAGCAGAAGGAGGCAGATACATTTTATGATCGACCCCTTATTGGAGGTGTTTGTTAAAAAAGACACTCATTCAGGTATGGGGGACATATGGATGGACCGATGATCTCTGCTATGTGGGCATGCCCTTTGATGATACACATTTCAGCCCTCCTCTGCCAGGCTTTTCTGTCCTGTGGTTCTTATCTGTGACCTTCCATAAATCTGTCACAGAAAACCTACCCAATATGTTGACACAGATTTTTTCTTTAGTTCTCTTTTTTTAAAAAAATTTTATTATATGAGGCAATTGGGGTTAAGTGACTTGCCCAGGGTCACACAGCCAGTAAGTATCAAGAGTTTGGTCTGAGGCCAGATTTGAACTCAGGTCCTCCTGACTCCAAGGCTGCAGCTCTATCCACTGTGCCACCTAGCTGCCCCTCAGTGAAGAGTTTTGACAACTTGAATGTCCAACCCTAATCCTGGGCTCGACCAGATGCTTTCCCTGTTGCAGAAAGGGAGCTGAAAGGAACCTCAGAGGCAAGTTAATCCAGCCTCCTGTTTTTACGAAAAGGTCAACTGCATACCAGAGAGGAAAAGTCAATCAGTCGTTGAGCATTTATTAAGCACCTACTATGAGCTAGGGGCAGCTAGGTGGCACAGAGGGTAGAGTGCTGATGATGGGGTCATGAAGTCCTGAGTTCAGATCCAGCCTCAGATGCTGGCAGGGCAGGTCACTTCACCCTGTTTGCCTCAGTTTCCTCATCTGTAAAATGGGAATAATATCACCTCCTAGGATTGTTGTAAGCCTCAAATGAGACAATAGATATAAAACAGAGATGTCAAACTCAGGCCAGCAAAGCTTCCCAATCAGATTTAAATATAAGTGGGAAAAGTTTAAACGAAATAATTAAAAAGGCAGTGCAACATAAATAATGTTGCTTTATGTTTTTCTATTGTGGGAGCAGGGCTCTGTTTGTATTTGAGTTTGACACTGGGCAGTCCTTAAAGTGCTATATACACGCTAATTAATATATGATGGCCAAGGGCTGGTGCGGCCCAGACTCAGATCTGGCCCTCAGTTTCCTCATCTGTAAAATTAAGAGGTAGGGCTAGATGGCCTCAGAGGTCACTTGCAGCTCCAAACCTGTGGTCCTGCGATATTAAGTGACTCCCCATCAGTCAGATGAAGGAGGTGGGCTCGGCATCCCCTGAGGGCCCTTTGAGTTCTCGATCTGTGATCTTGGGAAACATGAGGGCTTTGGTAGAGCGGGTGCCCATCGTCTCAGCTGAATGGGCCTCCCTGCTGGTCACTCTTTGGCTCCCCCAAGAGAAGAGAAAGAGAGACTCATTCAGCCAGGGCCTTTCAAGGTTCCCTCTGCCATGTTGTGTGTGTCCCCCCCGCCCCCGGAAGTCTTGGAGCCAGACTCCTCACCCAACACGCTTCTCTCTGCCCTAGAGTAACCGATGAAGTGTTCAACTTTCTGCTGGTCTGGTACTACTGCACGCTCACCATCCGGGAAAGCATCCTCATTAGCAATGGCTCCAGGTACTGCAGGCCACCGGGGCCTCGGGACGAGGGGGTTGTCCTAAGGGAGACGTGTGGTCCGCGGCTCTGGAAGTGGGAAGGGCTGGGCTCCCATGAAATACCTCACTCATGTCCTACAGCTAGTAGGGAAGGAGCTGGGAAGAAGCGTTCACATTCCTCTTGTGCAGGGGGGCTGTGGTGGTTCACTGTCTTTCTTCCACATTCGTGGGCGAGTTGGTAACAATGAACAGTTTTGACATTTGTGATGGAATCGATTCATTTAGAGAAAGCGCTAAAGCAGCCTCGTGAGCCCAGGTTTGGGGGGCCGAGGAACTCGAGTGACCTTTGTGACCCTGGATAATCAATCAATCAATCATTAAACAAAGACAAAAAAATCAACCAGTCCTTGCTGCCCCCTGGGCTGTCCACCTATTGAAAGCTGAGTAATGCCTGTGTAATCTGAGAAGGGACGAGCAGAGCCTCCAGCCAGGCAAGGTTTATTCAGTGGGTGCTGTGTGCCAGGCACTGTGTTAAGCACCGGTTACACATAAGGCCCTGACCCTCGGGGAGCTAGAAGAGGAAGAGGTTGCTTTAGGTGACCCCCGAGGCCCCTTCTGGCACTGAGTCCATTAGTGGGGAGAGGGACCTCCTTTTCTGAGATTCCACCTCCTTTTCTTTGTTTTTCCCTTTTTTTAAAAAAAAGATTATTTAATTAATTTATTTTTAGTTTCCACCTTCTTTTCTGATTGTACTTGTTCACTCTCCCTCCTCCAGTTAGAAATCAGATGACCTAATTTTGTATCCTGGTTGCTTTCTGTTAATTAATTGGTGTTATTTGGTTAATTGTTTTTAATGTAATAAAATCTGTCTCCCCTTGTATCTGGGGTCCAGTACCAAAGCTGAGGAGGCGACTGGTCCCAATTAGTTGGGCAGTGGACCCGCATTGCTTGGTAAATCAGTATACTTGGAAACTCAAACCTTTGTTCATCTTTCACCTACCACAGTTTGGCCTGTAAGGCAGCTAGGTGGTGAGGTGGGGAGCATGAGCCTGGAGTCGGGAAGACCCAAGTTCAAATCCTGCTTCAGACACTTAATAACTGCGTGGCCCTGGGTAAGTCACTTCACCCCTGTGGGCCTCAGTTTCCTCATTTGTAAAATGGAGGTTATGATGGCACCTACCTCCCAGGACCATTGTAAGGATCCAGAGAGATACCATACATGCAGCACGTAGAGAAAATTAAAGTGCTCTGTAAGTTCTAGCTCTTATTATCTCTGTCTCCTTTCAGCACCAGATGATGAATCTGGAATTTCTAAGGGGTCTTTCCAGTTCTAGAATCCTACCTGTGTCTAAATGTGGGGCACAGGGGAAGAAGGCGGAGTGTGTGGCTCAGCCTTGGGCGCTGAGACAGAGGGGGCATTGTGCCCAGGGCCCCAAGCCCTCAGCTCAAGGCCCCTTGGGAGGCACAGAGGGTTTGTTTTTAAGGATCGTAAAAGAGCAGCCAGCCCTCTGTAGGTGAATACACACACACACACACACCTTGCACATTTATGTACTTGTTTTCATCCCGACCTGGGATTTCCCCATGTAGAAAACTCCTTTCCTGGAGGCAGATGAGCTACTTACTGGCCTTGAGAGTGCTTCCTGGGATATTGAGGGGAAGAGGGGTTTGCCCAGTGTCATTCCTGCGGCTGTTATGTGTCAGAGACAAGATTTGAACTCAGGTCTTCCTGACTCTATCCACAACCCCACAGTGTCATTTTCAAGTGTCTGTAGAGGCTGTTGCGATTAATAACATATTAATTAATTTAAAAGCTCTCCTGAATTCAGAGTCACTTTTTGTCATCATGGATTTTCTCAATCAGCAGGTGCTAATTAGGACAAATAAAGCAGGTAGGTAGCACAGTGGATAGAGCACTGGGCCTGGAGTCAGGAAGACCCAAATTCAAATCCAGCCTGAGACACTTCCTAGCTGTGTGATCCTGGACAAGTCACTTCAGCCTGTTTACCTCAGTTTCCTCATCTGTAAAAGGACCTGGAGAATAAAAAGACAACCCACTCCAGTAACTTTGCCAAGAAAACCCCCCAAACGGGGTCACCAAGAGTCAGACACAACTGAAAAGACCAAAAAACAACAACAGAAAATCTGCTGTCGTCATGGGGAATCTGTGGAAGTCTTTGATAAGAAAAATGGTGGGAATCACTGGTGTGGTGGAGAGAGCTCTGGGAGGGTTGAGGGTGAAGTACGCGTTTGACCTTTCAGCAGAGAAGTGGTGGACTGTGGGTGAGGAGTGGGGTGTGTGTTTTCAGACATGGTTATTGTGCTGCCACCAGGGAGGATTCTCTTGGGAGTTGTGGGGAAGTGGTGGCGATGTTTTAGAACTTCAGTAAACCATTTAAAAAGAAAAAAAAGCCACTGATCTGAGAATGGAGATCTGAGCCGTGGCTCCTACCTTGAGTTAGTAGCAGGACCTTTGGGGCCAGTCACAGACTGAACAGTTATTGCTATCTTTGTGAGCAGGATGAACTCACGGGCCTCTCCGCCATGATGATGCTTGTACTGGTAAATCCATGAAGACTCAACTCTTCCCTCTCCCTTGCTCCCCATTTCTAGGCTATTTTTTTTTTAGTAAGGCAATTGGGGCTAAGTGACTTGCCTAGAGTCACACAGCTAGGAAGTACTATGTGTCTGAGGCTGGATTTGAACTGAGGTCCTCCTGACTCCAGGGCTGGTGCTCTATCCACTGCGACACCTAGCTGCCCCATCTTCTTGGTTCAGCATCACTGGGATGCATCAACCTCTTTCTACACACACATTCCCCACCCCAGTTCAGACTCTCTCTTTTTTTTTTATGAGGCAGTTGGGGTTAAGTGATTTGCCCAGGGTCACACAGCTAGTGAGTATCATGTGTCTGATGAGATATTTGAACTCAGGTCCCCCAGTTCAAACTCTTAACCACTTTCTTAGACTGTTGTAAGAGCCTCCAGGTGGGTCTTCCAGCCTCCAAGCACTCTGCTCCTCCGTCTGCGTTCTTCATAGCTGCCAGGTTGATATTCCTGAAATACAGTTCTGACCATGTTCCTCTCCCACTCAGAAATAGTCATTGGCTCCCTGTTGCCTCTAGGATGAAATTTTAAAAGTCACAGTCTTCAGCCCTGTACTTAAGGTTGTCCACAGCCTAGCTCCCGCTTACTTTTTCAGTTTTGTTTCTTATCATTCTCTGTTCCCATCAGACCAGCTTCTCTGCTGTTCCCCTTGCACACCATTCTATGAACCATCTCCAAACCTGAGCATAGATAGTCCTCTATGTCTAGAATTGTCACCCAGCCTTTTGGAATCTCTGACCTCTGTTAAGATGCATCTCAGAGGGGCGGCTAGGTGGCTTAGTGGATAGAGCGCCGGCCTTGAAGTCAGGAGGACCTGAGTTCAAATCTGGCCTCAGACCAAACACGTGGCGCTTACTAGCTGTGTGACCCTGGGCAAGTCACTTAACCCCAACTGCCTTAAAAAAAAAGGTCAAAAAAAGATGCATCTCAGGTTTCAGTTCTTAAAGAGGTCTTTCCTGAGACACCGAATTGTTAAATTGTTCTCAACCCCTTTCTTTTCTTCTTCTTCCTCCTCCTCTCCTCACAGCACTATTAAGTTTCTGAGGCCAGATTTGAACTCAGGTCCTCCTGCCTTCAGGGTCAGTGCTCTATCCCCTGTGCCACTTAGCTGCCCCTCTCTTAAAATTACTCTATTATTTTGTGTGTCCTTTGTAGTGATTTCTCTGTATTCCACCCTGAGAAAGAACGTAAGTTCTTTGAGGGCAGGGATAACCTAATTTTGTCTTTTTTACCCCCAGTACCTAGCGCAGAGCTGAGCACACAGTAAGTGCTTGATGACAAAGAGTGACCCTGGCTCCGGTAACCCTTTTAAGTGAACTTGTATCCTATTCGTGCCCACTGCATCTGTGGACATTTGGAAAATGGCAGTCCAGCTAAAGGCAGCATGGTCTAATGGGTAGAGAGCTGGCTTCAGCACTGGGAGGATCTGAGGTCAGATCCTGCTTCTGACACGTACTGACTGTGTGACACTAGAAGCTTACGTCGGGTTCTTGAGATTATACATGTAGCTCTGGAAGGGACCTCAGAGGTCATGCCCCCTGTCCTTCACCCCTTGCACCCCCATCATATGGATGAGGAGACTGAGGCCCAGGGCGTTTTAGGTGGTTTGCTCAGGACCACACAGGTAGTAAGTGGCATAGCTGGGATATGAACCCAGGTCCTTGGACTCTAAAACTAGAGCTTTCTGTACTAACACCCTAGAGAACTGTTGGAACGCTGCATCGGTAGAAGAAATTTCCTTATGGGGCACCTCTCCAAATTCCTGAAAATACAAGTCCAAACTGAAAAAAAAGATCTAAATGTATCTGTGAGAACAGGGTATTTATTCAGCCCACAGAAGTTATTTGCTTATTTATGGATTTTCCATATGAATTCATGGGCCTCTTGAAATCCCTCCTTGGTCCTCTGGAGTCCTCAGTGACACTTGGGACTGATCACAGGGCGCGATAATGGACAGGATTCGGCTAGAATTAGAGATTGGTAGAGCCACAAGGGACTTTAGTGATGGTCTAGCCCTGCCCCCTCACGTCAAGGATTAGGAAGCAGAGGCCTCAAGAGAAGTGACTTGTCCAAGGACACACTGTAAGTCACTGGCAAGGCCCCTGGGCTCCTGATCCCCAACCCCATGGCTGTTTCCTTCCTGTGTTGGGTTCCATGTTAGACCCTCCCTTTCACGTGTCATCTCCATCCCTTCTAGTTTCCTTCTTAAAGGAACAATCCACTCTTTCTTTCCCTTTTTTGCCCCCTTTTATTGGCCGGGGGGACACGGCAAGGAGTCCAGCGAGGTGGGGCGTGTGTACGGTATGGCGGCTGGCGATGCGCTACACTCTCACATCTCTCTGGGGCGGGTCAGTGCTCTGCTCTGCCGTGACCAAGGGGTGAAGTTTGGGTTCAGTCAGATAGACTGACGAATAGCCTTGGAGAGTAAAGCAAGTAGAGGAGGCTGACCCACATGTGTCTGCCGCCATCTTTGTTTCTGGAAGTGGTGGGGGAGGGGAGGGGATCTGGTCATTCTGCACTGGAGTGGGTAAGCCCTGTGTGAGCGATGGGCTTATGGACACGGTGCGTGCCGTGGCTGGTCTTATACCCAGATTGTTATTGTTTCAGTCACGTCTGACTCTCTGTGACCCCGTTTGGGGTTTTCTTGGCAGATATTGGAGTGGTTTGCCATTTCCTTTTCCAGCTCATTTGACAGACGAGGAAACTGAGGCAAACAGGGTGAGGTGACTTGCCCAGGGTCACATAGCTAGTAAGTGTCTGAGACCAGATTTGAACTCTAGAAGATGCCTCCTGATTCTAGGTCTGGTGCTTCATGAACTATGGCGCCACCTAGCTGCCCCTTAGACACAGATGGCCAAGGTAATTAGGCTGATTTGCCAGAAACCGGCAAGATGTCTTATCCTCAGAATTAATGCCCCACTCCGTGCCCCCAGGGATCTGTTTGAGATACTCGAAATTCCACCTTTCCTAGGGATTAAAACTGTGAAATGAGGAATAGCCCCAGGACCAAGGCATGGGCAGTGATTAACTGATATCTATCTGAGAGGGCAGGTAGGCTCAGTGGGTAAAGCACTGGGTCTGGAATCAGGAAGACCTGAGTTCAAATCTGGCCTCAGCCAGCTATGTGACCCTAGGTAAGTCACTTAACCTCTGTTTGCCTCAGTTTCCCCATGGTAAAATGAGGCTTTACAGTTTTCTCATTTGATCCTCCCAAAAGCCCTGGGAGGTAGGTGATATTATTACCCACGTTTTACAGATGAGAAAACTGGAGAAGGAAATGGTAAACTGCTCTAGTATCTTTGCCAAGAAAGCCCCATGGACAGTGTGGTGCGCAAGTCTAGAGGAATCAGACGCATCTGGACGGGAGATTTTGCCTTTTTACCTCCAGGGCCTGGCATCTAGTAGGTGCTCTATAAATTTGAGTTCCAAGCGTGATTCAGAGACGGGAACAGATGAGTACCGACTCATTAATGACGACTTGGGTTTGAGTTTCTTCTCTGGGGCAATAAGAGCTGGAAGGGACTTTGGAGATTGTCAGAGGCCCAGCCTCTTCACAGGGCTTAGCACAATGCCTGGCACTCAGGAGGTGCTTAATACATGTTCGTTATTTCATTGATTAGGATCAGAGGTTTATAGCTGAAAGGCCCTCAGAGTCCATCTAGTCTGAACTCTTCATTTTACAGATAAGGAAACTGAGACCCAGAGAGGTTGTCACTCACCTGTGGTCATATAGTATCAAAGGCAGGATTTGAACCCAGGTTTTCCTTCTCTCTACCTGTCTTTTTTTCTAGGTTGGAAAACAGGCCAAGAGAATAGAAGTAGCTGGCCCAGGGTCACATGCAAGACAGATGAGGCCGACTTGGTGTGGCTCCGAAGGGTAGAGCAGTGGGTGGAAATGACCCAAGTCTTGCAATATGAGGCTTGTTAGAAGACATTTGGGGTGTTTAGCCTGCAGAAGAGAAAAACTAGAGGGACATGATGCAGAGAAAGGCGTGGGGATGACTCTGGCTGTCCCCAAGTGTAATGGACTACTTTGGGAGGGGTAGTGGGTTCCCCCATACACAGATCTGAAGGGTGACTCCCTTTTGTCTGTGTTGGGGAGGAAATTCATATTCAGACATGGGTAGCACTAGACGACCTTTGGAGGCCCTTCTACTTGAGATTCTGTGATTCTTTGAAATTACAAGGAGTCAGATTTCAACTTAGTGAAGACCAAAACCAGAAAGAGGTCCTGTCCTTGAGGAACTTACATCTGTTTATAAGTCTTGGAACTGTTCAAGGATAGGATGGGCTGCTGTGAAAGGTAGTGAGCTACTCCTCCCTAGAAGTATTCAAATTGAGGCTGTGGAGAAGGTTGTAGAGAATCCATGGAATGAGAGGAGAAGGAGTGTCAGACTAAATGACATTTTATAGATAAGGAAACTGAGGCTGACCTATGTTAAGTGACTTGCCCAGGGTCACACAGCTAGTGTCCGAGGCTGGATTTGAACTTGGGTCTTCGTGACTCTAGGCCCAGCACTTCATCTCTTTTCTCCCCCATTTCAGCCCGGTCAGTGCTGGTTCCCCAAGTCTGTGCCATGGACGTAGTCCCTCTACTCCAGAAACTCGTGGTCTGCTTGTGGAAACATGCTTCGCACACGTGAAACTGTCAGGGAGAGTATGAGTTAGGGTCTATTTGGACAATTTAACCCCATCCCTCAGTCCAGCAAGGATTTTTCTGGACTTGGTGGGGTCAGGGAAAGTGTTCCCTGGTACCCCCTGGGGATAGAGCTGCCAAAGGGGCCTGGGGGCCTTTGGGGGCCCAGAAGGTGCCTCAGAAGGCAGGGACTGTTAACACAGCGGATGCTGAGGGTCTGAGAAGCTGCTGCCTAGAAAGGTAGTAAGTGGAGGAGCTGTGATCTGAGCCCAGAGCCTGTGCCTCTAGAGAGTCTCTTGGTGAGCTGTGATCAGAATATGTGAAGATAAAAGTAGTTTGGCTTCACTGGTGCGCTTTCCTGTGTCCCATAGAGGATACATGTGTCTGTGTGCGCGTGCCTGTGTGGGTGCAGGTTGCTGCTCTGACGTGCCAGCTGGGCCTGGCGGACCTTTCTGTGGTTGGGGCCAAGAACGGCATCCCCACCATGAGAACTCTCCTTTTCCATGACTTGTCCCGTGCTGGGTTTGCTCAGCAAAAGCTTCTAAATAAAGCCTGGCTCTTTTCTCCTTGTCAGAGACATCCCTGGAGGTGCGACATAAGGGAGGGGGGTGGGGCGCTTCTTCCACTTTTCACTTGATCACCCCAAGCTCCCTTTCTTTCTGTCTTTCTTTCCAAGAATTAAAGGCTGGTGGGTGTCTCACCACTACGTCTCCACGTTTCTGTCTGGGATAATGCTGACCTGGTGAGTTCTGTCTCTCCACCTCTGTCCATACTGAGGGAGGGAGGTGGGGCGGGCCTGGGCCAGGCTTAAGATACAGGATCTTTTTGGTCAATAGAACTGGGCCTGGGCTGGGTTGGGCTGGATCCAGATGGGAGGGCCATTAAGGTCACAGCTCCAAGACAACTCCTTGGCCAAGGAGCAAATGAGCGAGTCCATGGGCCTGAGGCTGGCAGCTCCCAGAGTCGAGAGCCCAGATGGATAGCCATGACCCCTGTTGGGTTTCTCAGGGAATGAAGGTTTAATGTTGGGCCTGTACCTCCAGAAGTGCATGGGGGTGGGTAGGAGTGAAGAGCAGAGCATGAGAAAGAGAGAGAGAGAGAGAAAGAAGACGATAGGGTGGAAATCCTCACCGAGGGACTGAGGGAGGAAGTGGCTGAACTGCTTTGGGCTAGGGCCTGGCCCCAGAGGCTCAGGGGATCAGTGCGCTGGGGAGCTCTGCTTTTCCGTGACCTCAGGGTTGGTAGACTTGATGTCTCTGGCAGAGAAGGGAGACCAGAGCGAAAGGCCTCTCCCCTTTCTGGCTCTGTGTGTCTGGCTCAGGGGCCCGGCGAGTGAATGATGGATGGGTTGGTGACGTTGACATTTCTGGTTTGACAACCTGGTCTCACCTTTTCCTGCCCCTCCAGGCCAAATGGACTCATCTATCAAAAGTTTCGCAATCAGTTTTTAGCCTTTTCCATCTTTCAGAGTGAGTGCCTCTTTCCTTCCTCTTTGCCCCAGGGTAGACCCTCCGCTTGGCAGGGATGAGGGCTCTGTTCTCAGCTGCCATCTGTATGTCAGGAAGGGGGATTGGGGAGCCAAAGAGTAAGGTCAGAGTGGACCTGGGGAAGTAGTCCAGGGTGCCTGGATTGAGCTTCAGGGGAGAGGAGGCTGCTTTTTCTTCCAAAATCAGTCCCCGTCAACATCACGAGGTGGGCTGGGAGCCCCAGTGTTGGCCCATCAAGTTCTCTCTGAGCCCTGACCCGGAGGATTCCTCCCCTGTCCAGGTCAGTGCCTTCTAGGTTTTTCAACGAACCAGCTGAAAACATCTGTCCACTCTTGTAGCCTTGGAGAACTGCCTTGAGGTGGCCCCCTCCCATATACCTCTCTTAGTGTCATTTGGCTTTTGAGGGGGTTGTGAGGAGGGAGAGCTCTAACGTAGAGGGTCTGGGTTCACATCTCACCTCTGGTACTACCTGAATCACCTTGGGCAGGTCACTAAGTTCTTCAGAGCCTCAGTTTCCTCTCTGCCTCTGAGCTCGCTTCCAGCTGGAGGTCTGTGAGGTGGGGGCCTCTGCCTGGGAGCTGTCCTCACCCCCTGTCCCTCTGCAGGCTGTGTCCAGTTTCTACAATATTATTATCAGAGTGGATGCCTCTATAGACTGCGGGCTCTGGGGGAAAGGAATCATTTGGACCTCACAGTGGGTGAGTACCCCCAGCTGCTGGGCCCCTCCTCCGAGGGCACACCTTTGTAGGAAAGAG